ACCACTAGGGAGCACCACCAGGCAGTTCGCCACCCGGCAGTTCGTCACCAAGTAGCTCTCCACCAGGGAGCTCGCCACTGGGTAGTTCGCCACCAAGCAGTTCTCCCCCAGGGAGTTCGCCACCAAGTAGCTCATCACCAAGGCACGTCACCACCGAGTCAAACAACGAGGTACTTAGCCAAAAAATTTATACATCACAAAAAATGGTACGTGACCAAAAACAGTTACATCAGGGTCCTTTGGAGTTGGGCAGAAATTTGATATTGCAAAACCCAAACACAAGAAAATTGGATTGACTTGATTCATTTCTTTGGCCATCTGGGTAGCTTCTATGGGTGTCATACTGGAAAAAAGAGCAATTTCTTACTTTCTTTGCACTAGAAAACCAGTTGGTTGGTTGTTAAAAAGAAGTATCATGGCCTAGGACTAGAGTATATCCTCAGTCAAGTGTGGTCTAACACTAGTGACGGGGATATCTTCTGGAGATAGACCTAGGATTTGAATACCATCTTGACATGATTCAAGATGTGGTCCCTAGGGTCATAACAAAATGGATCATGGCCTGCAATATCAAACAATCCCTTCAAGCTCTAGTACACTAGCACATTTGTGTGGGGTTAGTTTCCACAAAACGAGTAATGGCCTGCAATATCAGGATAGAATTGGACCCCCTGCAATTATTACAAATAATAATCAATTCAAGTGAAAGTAATATGAAATTATCAACAAATTGGACCCCCTAAATTTATCACAAATACTAGTCAATTCAGGACAAAACAACAAAGTAATATGAATTTACCAACAAGGTGGTAAGGAGAGGGGGAGCAGAGCTTATAAAGCAGGAAGTTGATTAACAACATCCAAATGATTGGCAGGTGAAAAAGAATGACAATAAACAAAGCTTAATCCACGTGAATGTGCATGGATGTGTTACTAGGATTTAGACTAATATGAGAGAACCACGTGAATGTGCATCCAAAAGACTATTGTTTATCTTTTTAAACAAGTGCAATGCTGCAAATGCATCATTAGGTGTGTTGGTACTTAGTTCCCTATTCATGCCTAATTTAAACAAGTTTATTATCCTATAAATTGTTTAGGTGTTTTTTGATACAAGGAATGAATTTTGGGTCAACTTGTGATCAATCATTCCATAGAGAATTAAAATACAGTCCAATGCTTAGTGATTAAAGGACTTGTAGAATTCGGGTATTAAAGACATATCAAAATAGGCATAGATTGTTTTACACTTGTCTTGTAAAAGTTGTAAGTGTTATAAAAAATTCACATGTTTTATGTTTGTGGCAATATTGATGTTTGAATAATGCTTTGACTTATAGGTTGCATCCATGTAGGCGAACAAACCAAATAGGAAGCATTGTGATTATTTTGCATGGGCAATTCCTAAAAGTTTTGAAGATGACACTACTTTATCCATGAATAACCAAGAAGATCTAGAAACCCAAATTGATGAGCTTGACAAATTGGTGGTTGACATGGATATTCATTTGAGGATAATGGAGTCGTTGCTATATTCCCACAAATTTCATATTGAGGGGATTAATACCATGCATTTCACAATCATGTATATGTATAAGTAGTCCTTATGTGATGTATTTGGATCATTGTTCATCTAAACTTATAACATTAGACCCAATGCTTAATTGCTAATTGGATGTGCTTATTTGGACCCTTGTTTATCTAAACTTTAAACTTTAGACCTGATGCTTAATTTATTATTTATTTATTTTTTGATAGAAGATGCTTAATATCTTATTGGATGTGCTTATTAGGTGGGCATTCACCTAATACTGAAGCTATTCTTGATGATACCATCATATGAATTCCAGATATTGAAATACTAAAGCTATTCTTTATTGACAGAACCTTGAAATATTCCTGGTCAATATTTGGCATGACATAGGTTATGTTTAGCTTCCCATAGAAGCTCAAAGATGTTTCAACAAATTGACCCTCTTGGATTGGCATAAGCCGAAAGTTGGAGTGGGTTTTGAGTCTTTGCCTTGTTATGCATCTTTCATCATGACAGCTATTTTAAATATCCTTAAATTATTTAACAAATCTATTAGCTTGGGATTTCTTGAAAATCCCTCTTTCACAAGTTTGGTGGATCAATTATTTGTTATAGTTCATTTAGTACATCCATTAAGGTTGATTGATCACAGGTGTATTTTACGTTTTACTATACTAATCTCCACTTATATTCTGCCTAACTGTGCTTACCTTTTAGCACAATGATGCCAAAGTGTTAACTAGAACCTATAGTTAAGTGAAACAGATGTGAAATGGCAATTTTGTATGTAAGGACAATTAGTTGAGTGGTGAGGAAAAATGATGCTAAGCAAACATGAAGATAATAGCCACTTGGTGATAGTCCATTATAACTTATCTAAGCCCATGGCTTAAGATTATTTATTTAGGTTTTAACTTGAACTTGCAGGCTTGAGTATTATTGGAGTATTAAAATTCTAAAACTATCATCACCAACAATAAAATCTTGTTCATGATTTTATTGATTTGACATTACACCTTACTTTTTACTACCTACATCTTTAAATATCCATGTGTAAAACATCAAGGATCTAAACAAATTCAAATTGGCTTATTTGATTCTCTTCGAATTTTGTGAATGATAGACTAGGTGCTTAAACATACCCATATCTATCTAGTATGAACTATACCAGTCCAGTTTATGATAATGATATATGTAACCAGGTCTATATGCTTATTTTTCCATTTGAACTATGTCTACCCTGTCCTTCAATGAATTTGTTTCACTTCAACGTAATAAGCACTATTTGAATCTACTTGAAGCTATTTGAAGCTATTTTAGTAAAAATGACATCTACAAGTAATATCATCTTTTGTCCATGATCTCTTATAAGTTCCAAACATACTTTTAAAAAATTGAAATAGTTACAAGTTTCAATTTCCCTCAATACATTTAAACTAAGAATCAACATATAAACAATTCGGTCCTTCATGTCTCCATCCAATCTCTTGAGTGGCTCCGTGCATAAGTTTAACCTACAACAAAAGTAACAAAAAATCGAAATTAGAACTTACACTTGGTTTCAAAAGTAACAACGCATAAATTAGAACTCTCCTGTGCAAACAATGTATGGTCAAATTTACATATGCTTTAGGCCTAGGGCTGGATACCGTAGACTCCCTTAGCATTTTTTTCATCCTAACTGCTAGATACTACACTTCCACAAATATATGTGTTTGACATATTAAACAATACTCAAATTTTGCATTGTTTTGGGACTACGACTTCATTACCTTAGACTCTCCAGCATTTTTTTGTCCTAACCACTATATACTAGCAGGGGTTTGTGCTCACCATCGGCTTATAGAACCCTCTCCTATATACTCCATTTTTCTTGTAACAGGACGCTTGAAATGTAAGATATTTATTCATCAAGGTGAATAACAACATGAACAGTAAAGATTGAAAATGAAAACAAAATTCACAAACTCTCCCCCCCCCCCACCTCTCATAAACATAACACAGTAGCAAGGAATTGTCTTGCTAGCAAAAACTAGCGTCATGATTCTACTAGTCCCATTCATATAACAATATCTCACTCAAAAGTCCAACACACAGTGGCAAAGATTGATGCTAGTACAGTCCCATTCATAAACATAACACCTACTCACCTCCATTAGCAACACTACTACTCTCCAAGAAATTGCTTTGATGCTAGAATAATGCAATATCATTTGAGACCTACTCTCCCTCCATTAGCAACATAACACCTACTCACCTCCATTAGCAACACTTCTACATTGTTTATCTCCCTCATCTTATAAATTCTCAACCAATTCACATGATCCTAGTTGACAGCCATGTTGTGTATACACATCTAAATCCTCTCCAATATTTATAAAACAAGCAGTTTGAGTACTACCTGTAATTTTAGATTTCATTACTTTTTCGACTCCAATGCAAATCTTTTGAAACCCATTCAATGCATACTCGTAAGCTTTTTCATTTTATGCAGCCTGGTTTGATATGTCCTGTGAAATTCTCACCAATTCAATTGCCCTCATATTATATCCACGGTTAGGATCAAGCTTAATTGCACAACCACGATAATCTATTACAGTTCCATCTTTTGCATCTCTTGTGTACCGTTTCAAAACATACTAGAAGGGAAGATGCATTATCCTATTTTCAGCAAGCACTTTCAATCCATGACCACAAAGCAACCCAACAAACTCAAAATTTCTACAACTACATGAGATTGACATAATCAATGGTGAAAATATTACAACATACTCGTGCTTCTTGCTTTACATGCTTACAGTGGTCTTAATCCCTTCATCAACCTCAACTTTATTGTCTACAAAACAGATCATGAAATTGTGATACTCTTTCTCAAATTCCTTGAAAATTATGGGAGTATAAACATCTAAAGTTTGTTGAAGAATTGACACTTGTATGCTCAATGGGGCTTGCTTTGGATCATCTTGAAATCCATCTCCATTTCTTTTTGGCATTTATCTTTCACGACTCTACAAAATGGTCCAAGAATCGAGATATATTTAACAGTGATTTCAAATAACCCCTTGATAAACTATTTATGCTTTCACTCCTTTGAGTGATTTTCATGTTTGCAGAAAAACAGTTCCTCCCATAAACCAATGCTCACTTCTTCACTTCAAACAACCCTTTCAACCATGTGTTCTCTTTCAGATTATAATTACAAAGCATTTCTTCCCAAGCTGTAAAAAAGTCCCCATCTTTTTCATAATCATATATCAATCTGCTAAAATCTTTTTTCAAATGTCTTAGAAACACAAAAAAACATGCGACAAATGTTTATTCGCATTCTAATAAATGTGTCAAATACAGAGGCGATGGTTTCTGGGAAGATGTATTGTATAGCCTTTGCCATTGCCGCACATTGATCTGTTAAGGTTGTTATTGGCTTTTTTCCACCCATTGCATTCAAGAAATATTCAAAAACCCATTTAAATGATTCGGTAGTCTCATCATACATTAATGCGTCCCCAAATATAGTTGTTTGTCTATGGTGATTAACACCAATAAGCGGTGCAAATGGTTGTTAATCTTGATTGGTTTTAAAGGTGGTGTCAAAGCAAACTACATCCCAACACAAATGGTAGTCAGATACCATTCTTACATCAGCCCAAATGACATTTGTAATCTAATCTATGCTATCAAATTGTATGGAGTGGAAGGATGAAGAGCTCTCCATCTGTAATTTCTCAAAACAATTTAAAATAACTCCTGCACCTCCCTTTTCCATTTCATTTTGTCTCTTTGTGCGTAGGTAATTACGATAATCAACACGAGCGAACCCCAGATTTTCAACTCCTCCCACTTGATTGGCCATATACTCTATAATGGCTTTTGGAGCTATACCTGACTTATCATCAATATCAGTCTGAGTAGTTTGGGCCACTGTCATTCTCCTATGTTACCTTAACATAAATGTCTTGCTTGGAGTTACAACCTCATGTGTGCCTAACATCAAGTTCTTATATCTTCATGATGATACTTCACATTATCTCTTGGTCTGTCTTCCCGATAACTCTAAGCATAATAACAAAATGTCTTATCTCTTATTAACTCAGTTTTTGTTTTGTGTTCCTTGCTCTTTCGAGTACTAAATCCAATTCTTCTTACATATCGTCTAAATTATCAAAAAGCATACCCAACTTTGGTTCCTCTATAGTGTTTTCTGTTTCATCACCACTTCCGTCATCAAATAGCAATTTACACACAGTGTGGCAATCTTTATTTGCAAGATTTTCATCTTCACTATAGAGCTTAATACATTCTTCATCTTATGTGTCCATTTCAAACTTTTGTTACAACAGTAACCTTCATGTAACAATGTAGAAATCAAACATCCAAGATACCATACATTCTTAAGAAATTGAATGCAAATTTGAGCTAGAATTCAATAAAAAAATACATCCATGTACATGTGATTATACATATGAGGAATATGAAAAGTTGTAGGTCTCAACCCCCATAATCTTTGACTTACACCAAGTCACTGATTTTAAATGGTGCATTGGTCTTTACAAATCCATCTCAATCAACTTTCACACATTGCCTACAAACCCATCTCAGTCAACTAGAAGCCCCTACTCCCTTATCATTATCATTTACTATGAAATCATCATTCAAGAAAATGCATGGTGAATAAAACAAAGAGTTGCATAAAATATGTTGTAGACTCAATTCTCAATAATTCATAAAAATGTTCCCAATGTGCAACTATAGTGTCTAGTGGGTACATGTGAGTAGTGTCTTTGTGTGTAACAGATCCAAGTTCATTGTTTACTTAGCATTCATATATGGATCCCACCATGTTATAGGGATAACAAAACAAGAGTTGCACAAACTTGTTATGTATTAGCATTCCTCTTAGAATAAAGATATTGATTCAATTAGGGGTCCCTTACATGAGAAGCCTAGCATAGTCATATCAACATCTGCTCAACACCTATTCCCCACTTCCTACTACTACCATAAGTCCTATCTGACACTGATTCAATGCCCAACAATGCTCCCTTTGGAGTTGGGAGGGTCCTTTCATTGAAGAGGACCAATGAATAGGCACCTTTTGTGGGAAAAAAAATGATGAAAGCAACTTTGAGAAAGGAATCATCCCTTGAAGAATTTCTTTACAATACTTGTCAATTCTAAACCTTGTTGATTGATTTAATTCAGCCCACCCCTCAAACCCTCTGCCAGTTATTTTCTATTGGCTTTGATTATTCTTCAAACCAATTGGTGATTCGACAAAGGGCCCCCATTTGAAAGGGAGCATTTAACTAGTGGATGGGTGTCAAATGAAATTTAGTCCAACATGATCAGGTAAGCCATGAATGTGAGGAGGATTCCAAATTGACAACAATAAAAATTACCCCCAAGAAAAGAAGAAAAAAAGTGATAAAAGAGGGAACAAACATTCCACTCATATGAGAGACCCTCCTGGAACCAAAACCCTTTTTTCTAATACTTATATGTAGAATGTCAGTGGGAGCATCATAAACTCGAACCTGATCCGATTCTTACATGAGATGAAAATTTAAATGGATATGAACAAACATTCCACATTTTTTTAGTCATGAAATAGAAGCTTACCGGAGGTTATTTTCTTATCGCCGGTTGAATGCAAACTGTCGAAGGTTGGTGAAACAATGAAGACCCCGCAGGTGACCTGTAGAGAGGAAGAAGATAACATTTGAGATTAAACACAGGGTTCGAGGTCAATCGGAGAAGGAGAAGATGCTTACCGGAGGTTTTTGCTTGTCATCAGTTGAATGTTTCACCACCGGAGGTTGGTGAATCAGTGAAGACGCCGTCGGTGTCCTTGTGTTCTTGAACTAGGGCTCGGGTGAAAATGGGGGAGAGAGGGAATTCAAACGAAGGGGAATAGAGGAGACTCGCTTGGTTTTATTTTTTTCACTCCCGGTTGAACCGGTCTGACAAGACAAACGGATTGCATTTAACGTTACTTAACCTAACAAAATAGAGGTGACTCGAAGGGGCGACATGCATGCCTCCTATTAGAGCGTGAACCCAAGGGTCCACTGAATCAGGACTCATATCATATTGGTTTTCTTTATTTCTTTCTTTTTTCTTTTGTTTTCAAATCATATCAAGGCAAAATCTCATTGACTGTTCAACATATCTTTGTGGATACAATCCATGGCAAAAGATGACTAGATTTGAGTACAAGTGAAAGTTAGACCAAATCTAGTAATATGATGAGCTATCGAATTGGCAATTAGTTTTGCAAAAAGCACATAACAATGAGGGATTTGAGCCATGTTAACTCTGCTGCTCTGCATTTGGGGATAAAAACAAATCTGATACGCCAAGGAGGAGAAGGATTAGTTTCCAACGGATAATTGACCACTTCAAGAGCATCCTTTCAAAGAGCACAAAATCCATTCCAAGTTGCACAACAAACTTTATGGTTTCAAGAAGAGCCCAGGCTCCGACTTCTAAATTGAGCTGTTTGGGTAGGTCTACACGAAATCTCCTTGATGATCTATATATACATCTGCATAAGCTGAAATGCTCGCCGCTCCATCGAAGTTTGCTTTGATAACATGCTCCTACACTAGTTACTATAAAATCAAAAACTTATATTGTTATATTAGATTTAGTGTATATACCATACATTATCAAATAGGTTTTGGGTTGAATTATGTGGAGTTGATTAGGGTAGGGATGACAACTTTTACCCTATTCGACGGCTATCTGCCCTGTTGGGGGGGGGTGTTTTTTTTTTATTTGATTGATGAATTTTAGGGTGGGGATAGGTTTTGGAATTCTATAGCCCTATGGGTACAAATAGGGTATAGTATTTAGGCTAAAACTTGACACTTTGCATATTAGTGGAAAGCATATGAACTTTATGTATTAGGTATTGAATTTAATAATATTTTGAATTTTATATAAAGGATAATTAATAAGACCGGGGTAAATCCGGCTCAGGCCCAAACCCAACCCGAATACATTAAATTACAATGTGAGCTGGGCTCAAGTTGAAAAAGATCAAGCTTGACCTCATACTCAATTGAGGCTCGGGCCTTAGCCCAACTCTCAAGATTGGCATGAGTTGACCATAAACCCGGCCCATACTTGCATTCATATTAAAATTTACAAAACCCTTCTCAAACCCGCCCCCTTGCCATGCCTATGGACACACGCCAGGCTCATGGTATTCAGGCCTCCGCTAATACCAACCCAAATTTAAGTTAGCCCAGGTTTTGTGGCCCAAGCCCAGTCCACTGTAAATTCAAATCCAATCCTTTTTTTTAAAGCGTCCTCGCAATTTATTTCATTCATGAGTCACGATCTTAATCTGTAATAATCGTCCATATATAGAGAAAAAAGAAATTATATTTTTGGCAAAAAAGAAAAAAAGTATTTTTATCAGCATACAAAAGGAAGGGAGTTATTTTGAAGGAAAAAAGGGAGTCATACTCACGATCTCACTGAATCTAAGAAAATCTATTGCACTCCGTGAGAATTCGCGTTTAATCTCTCTCTCTCTCTCTCAAAAGTTCCCGGTCCGTGGCTCGGCGCGAGATTGCCCAGAAGTTGCCCCCATTATAAGTACAAATTCTCTCAAAATCACCATTACAAGCTACAAACGCTTAAGTCTTAACAGAGATGGAGAATGAGATAGAGCCACCGAGGGTAGAGCGATAGGTATAGTCGTGTAACGAGACAAGATCGTCAGGGCCGGTCAAGTCAGATCAGATCCGTGAAATCATCTTTACCAGCAAATTTCAGGAAATAAGCCCTGGCGAATTCGCTGTGAATCGTCTCGCATTCGGAGTGTTCGTCGAATAGTTTTTGTTCTTTTTCTTCCATGTTTGATTTATGTGGAATGGGGCGACAGTTGGGTTGCAGGGGCTTTGGAAATGTGGAAAGTGGGTTGTTACTTTAGGCAAGATAGAAGATAGGGTCTTGAACTAGGGTTTGCAAAGGTCACACATTTGGTATTGGAAACAACGGTTCTTTTTAGGGTTTTGGCGTTTGATGTTTACAGTCGCATGAGGTTTTGCTGTTGTTGTGGTTTTGGCGAAGAGATAGAATACGAGGAAAGCACTAGGAGCATCGAGGGGGGCTTGCTTTATACTGCAACTGAAGTTAAGTTTAAGGAATTATTGCGTACGAAAATGGACGACGAGGACTCTGGGGCTGGAACTCCGCAAATGGGATTCAAGGATGGAACGATGGATGGTTCGCCGAGCGAGGAGACTGTGGTGGAAGATTTGGATTTGGGGATGGCTGTTAGGACGAGGGATCCGGCTGAGAAGGAGATGCCCCGTGACGCTTCCGTTGCCTGGGAACTTGCTTTTGGGAGTTCCCGTTGTTTTGACAAGTATGTACAAGCCAGTAGTCAGTGCGTAGCGGATGGTGACGGGTTGGGTCTAGGTGAAGAAAATTCTTCCTTAGGCCTGGGAAAAGGGAATCACAATCGGGATTTCCAGCATAAACGGGCCAAAGTTCATTCCGATTCTCGGTGAGCTCTCCTTATCTCTCTCTCTCTCTCATCGCACTGAAAGGTCATTTAGCTCTTTTTAGTTGCATTTAGAAAACTGAAATAGCTTGTAGTGAAAAGATTTCTTTTTGCTACGCAAGTCAATATTTTTGTTGATCACTTGAATTATAGATGAGTATATTTCGCATTTGCTGATCATTTTTGTCACGCTTTTGTTATTTCTGTCTTCCATGCTCGCCATCGTTTGTCACGCTTTTACCTCTAACAATATTCTGGTTTGTACTGTAGTGAAGTACTTACCTTCCGTGAACGAAGATGGCCATTCTATTATCATCTTTCCTTTTCAACTTCTTACATTTCAAAGAAAAACACCAAGGCACATAAGCACATGTATCTTAACTACCACGATTAATCTCTTTAAGATGCATCCCTCAAGTCTATTAAAAATCTGGGTCCGATTCCAAAAAAAGTCTATTAACAATCTGAGATACGTTGTGAGCTTCACTTTGTGATGGTTGTCTGGTGAAAAGATCCTTTGAAATTCATCTACATTTGGGCACAATCTTTACTGATCATCAGACTATAATGTGTTCTATTTATTTTTTGTCATGTTAATTGATATTATAGTACTTGATACAGACTCTTATTTTGTCATTCTTGATGTGGATCTTTTGTTTATTGCATGTATACTGTAACGTTTTTGAATCCATACTAGTTCAGCTGAATGGTATGTCTCACCTAAGAAGCAATAACAGCCGCTTCGGTGTTATCAAATTTCTCCTAAGAATGTTCCTGTTCATACACTGGTTTTAATTTCCAATTGGAAACTTGACCTGCCCTATTGTTGATAGGGGATTACCACAATGGTATTCTTAACTGTGTTTTGTTGTAAGGAAAATGGATGGGATAAAAGAAAATCTAGATGAAGTGGATAATTTGGTTGACATGAGAAGCCAAATTGGAAAAGAAGGTAGAGAAAATATGACATTGAAGTGTTAAACTTTCTCTCCTTTTTATCTCTTCCATTTTCCCTAAAAGGTAGAGAAAGAAAAGGAAAATGAGAGGTGTGGGATGAAGAAGAAGTTAGTGTGACTCATTGCTTGTCTCTCAAGTCTTTACCAACAAGCATTCTTCTAGAGATCAGATCTGGCAAAAAATTCTATAGATTTTGGCATTCTTCCTCTCTCTTGGCATTGAAATGGAGATGCTGATCTTGAGCCTTTGGGAGAAATGGGTAGCTGGCCCTCTTCAGTAGTGGGCTGTTGCAGTTTTACTATGGCGAGTCAAAGAGTCTTTGTGGTATTTATTGGGATTTTAGAGGACTCTTTTGTGGTACGGAATTGCTTTCTATGTGATTGTACCTCTTCTTTTCAAGGTGATACATTATCATCTCATCCTGTATTCACTTTTTATTTTCATCAATTTCCTGATGAATTTTATCTTTATTATAAAAAATGAAAATGAAAATAAAGCACCTGTTAATTCGATGAATATAATAGCAGGCAGGGAATAGTGGGTGGGCAAGATAGCATGAGGCTGAGCAAACAAAAGTATACAAAAAAAAAAAATCTAAAGTAGAGTTACAGATTAGCCCCTGTAGGGGCGATCATGGGCTGGGTGCAGGCTGGGCTTAGCACCTATGATAAGGGCTATAGCTCAAGAACAAACCTGCACAGGCTGGGCTAAGTCCTGGGCCTATGACTTATTTATAAAATATAAAACATATAATATTTTCTATTATATGCCATAAATGAAAATGCCACTGCTGGTTAACAGAACATGGACATTTTCGTAAATTTACCCCTCACTGCAACAGTAGTTTAACAGAGTTGGACTTAATTGTATGGTTCTGAAAGTTCAGGTACTAAAATGGCACATTTGAAAGTTCAGGCCCTAAAGTAAGAGTGTGAGACTACCCCCAAAGTACAGAGTGCCTATATGCAATTCCCTATAAAATATTATACATGTCATATTATGTTATTTATGTATAAAATATACAACAACATATATACATATGTATAAATAATATATGTGTGTGCATGCGGGCCCAGCCCCTAAATTTGCAGGCCTCTGAACACAAAACCTAGGCCCAAGGCAAGAATTTTGGGCCGAGCCGAGCTGAAAATAATCACTTCTAGCCCCTGGGT